TTGCCTCCTCACCACTCTCCCTGCCAGTGCCACTGTCCACAGCCCCCAGCCCCCAAGGCCTGCACAAGTGTCCCTTCCTGAGAGGCTACCCTGACACCCAGAGCCTCATGGTGCTCCATTTTCCCCACTGCACCACAAATCATGTGCTAGATCCTACAGCTGCCACCCCTCAGGAGGAGTACTGAGACCCTTCGGTTCACTGATACACCAAGGACCACAATGGATCAGCTGTGGTGGATACTCCACAGCCTTCACAGGAGAGACAGCAGCTACCGTAACCAGTGCCCAGTGGTCCCAGAGCTACCTGGTCTTTTGGGGCTGCCACTGGAGGCATCCCTCAAGCCTAATCCCATGGCAGCCACCCCCCTGAGCAGCAGCAGCCACCACTACTGGTGCCCACAGCTCAGATACCCACTCAAGAGCAAAGAGATCAGATCTGGGGAACTTTTCCGAAGAAAAAGACCACAGAACTGGACCTAAGAGGCAATGGGCTCCTACACTGTTCAAAGGGCATACAAGCTGGAAACACATTTCTTTTTTTCTTTTTTTTATATATCTTTATTGAATTCAGAAAGAGGCAAGGAGAGGGAGAGACATAGAAACATCAATGATGAGAGAGTCATTGATCAGCTGCTTCCTGCACGCCCCCGACTGGAGATCGAGCAGCAATCTGGGCATGTGCCCTGACCGGGAATCGAACCTCGATCGCCCAGGATCCTAGGTCGATGCTCAACTGCTGAGCCACGCCCAGCCGGGCTAGAAACACATTTTTTGACCAGGGTGCAGATGTGTCACCACTGCCTGCACAGCCTAAGATGGGGATGGCACCCCAGCCATGTGACTGGACCCAGTCCCCTACGGGGCTACAGGAAAGAACAGATGCCCTCACACTACGTGACCAAATGCCAGTGATCAAGCCCCTCTCTATTCACCGTGTGCAGTTATGCACACACATGCCCACATGTACACGTGCACACATACATGAGTGCCCACATGCATGCACACTGACACGTACACACATGTGCAAATACAGGCAGTATGCCCACAACACACATGCCCACAGAGACATGAACACACGGGCTTGGCAGGAGGCCTTAACCACATCTTCACTTGATTTATAAGAAAAGGGCCTATCACCTAAAGATGGTCTGGAACCCCCATGAGTGCACAGAGGACTCACGAACACAGGCCATGTTCCCAGCACTTGGAGCCATGCTCCATTTGGTGAATGTCCAACGACTTTTTGTTCCTTTGCCTTTACAAATGGAATTTGGTACAAAATATATGTTTGGTAACCTCTACTGCCTACCTAATATGAAATCCCCCTAAAGAACATCTATGAGCCAAGCTGCCTACAGCGAGTCCCAAGGACAAAGGACAAACATAGGGTCTGCCTGGTTGGGACAACCGTGCCACCTGTCCTTCCTGTGTCAGTGTGATGCATCCCTTCCTTCCTGAAACCCAGTGACGGATGGATGTTGCTCCATGTCCTTGCCCAGCAGGACAAAACCTGAAAGCTTTGTCCTGTCCTGATTATCAACTGCACTGCTCCCTGAACCCCCACATACCAACCCCCAGAGTTGTGCTCTCACCATCCCAGTGGCAGCAGCCCCACGCTTGGCAGAAAGCTCGCTCAAAACCTGGGGTCACCACCTCAGCGGCCACATGATCCCTGAACTGGCCTAGCTGATGGCCTCACAGAATGCTACCAGCTACCAGCTGCCCACTCTCAATGGCCAGTCTGCCATGGGCCACGACAGGACAAAAGTGACACTCCCCAGGACTGCTTGGATCAGCGCATCAGGGTGTTCAGGTCCCCTTCACAGAGGGTGGGAAGAGAGACCCCTGGGTGAGCTACAGGACCTGAGCAGCAGGGAGTGAAATCACAGAAAGGAGCCCAAAAAGAACAGCAACCCAAGGAAGAGGAAGTGGAATCAGAGCCACGGGAAATGCCACATGAGGAACAATCTCAGCTAGAGGAAGGAGACAAGGGGGTTGCAGGCCCCATGCACCCTCCAAGGGAAGACTCCCACCCCATTAGCCATGGAAGCTGGGGGTGGAACTTCCATTGGGGGCTGGGGCCTGTGGCCATGCCTCACTAGGGGCCTGCATGCCTGTCTACTCTGTGGTCCCACACAGGGTACCCATGGCCTAGGACTCACCTCTACCTGGAGTGGGTAAGCACCAAGAGAAGGGGTCAGGCTCCCTGAAGTCAGTTAAAAACCCACCATAACAGCCCTGGTTTGTGCGGCTCAGTTGGTTGGAGCATCATTCCATACACTGAAGGGTTACGGTTCAATTCCCGGTCAGGGCACATGCCCAGGCTGTAGATTCAATCCCCAGTCAGAAGGCAAAGGATCGATGTTGTTTTCTCACACTGATGTTTCTCTTTTTCCTCCCCCTCTCCCTCTCTTTCTAAAATCAATTTTTTTTAAAAAAAATCATAATAAGAAGTCAGAAAAAAGCACCCTCCTCCTCACCACCTCCCCTGTGTAAGGTATTTCTACCGAGAAACAAAGTATTGAGGACACGGGGATACATAAAAACCTGTCCTTTCCACTTCCAGACCAGTCTCCCATCACAATAAAATGCAGAATAAATGTCCCGTCACGCAGGGGACCAGGGTGTGGTACCCATCCTCAGGGAGAGAACCAGCCTCCAGAAAAAGAACCCCCATCATATCAGAACACCAGTAGGGAGGGGCTGAGGGCTCCTCTGGGAAAGCAATGGCTGCTGGTGGCCAGAAGAGCTCATTCTTGACGCTCAGAACCAGAACCATGGGGCAGTGGTGAGAGAAAAGCTGAGCTTACAGACTCTGCATTCATGATCTACCTGGTCTCAAGCCCCTGTGCCAGAAAGCAGCCAGGGAGCAGCTGTGACTAGCCCCACACTCAGCAGAGCAAAGCTGGGCAGCTGCCTCACCCTGAGGGAAGGGACACCTGAGAGAGGGGACAGGGCCCTAATGACCGATAATGCAACAGCCCATGAAGACATGTCTTCCAGCAGGCTCCTAATGGTGTCCCCAGGAAGGCCTGGCCCTTCCTGCCAGGGTAGTGACCACTCAGGACCTGTGGCCTCCACTGACCTCACCCTCTTTCCTTAAGTGCCTGGAGCTGGGAGCCTCCTCCCAAGGCTGCAATGGGGAAGAGGGGGGACGGAACAGACAGGGGGAGCCCCAGCTGTGGCTGCTAGACTGGGTCCTCTCACTCCCCCAATTTCTAGAGGAGACCTGAGAGCAGAGATGAAGCTGCTTACTGAGGGGGAACTCATCCATCAGCTACAGGAATCCAGGCCTGGGGCCTGGAGCAGGGATGGGGAGGAACAGGCCTGGGGGAGCCCCCACAAGAGAAAGTGAAAGTGTTACAGACCTGGGACTCCAGAACAAAGAGGGCCAGAGGGACCCTCAGCCTGAGCACAGCTGGGGGGCCTCCCTCAGCCCCACCAGGGCTCTGCTGTCCCTCCTGCTGATGACCCAGAGTGGGCGCACACAACTAGGACCTCAGCAGGGTCAACGTGACCGGCGGCCCTTAATCCAGCTGCGTGGGAGCAAAGGCCTGAGGAAGCAGGAAGGCACTCCTGAGAGCGAACCACCCCCTGTGGCTCCAGCACCCCACCCTGGCCGAGGGTTCTCACTCGAGGCCCCTCCCCCGTTCCCATAGTTACCCCGGGGCGTCTCCCACCTCCCACACCTCCCCACTGCCCCACCCAGAGTGTGAGAAAGTGCTTCCCGGACCCCAGGGAGGCAGGAGGGC